CCCTTCGGGCTGGAAGCCGGACCCACAAGAGATGAAAAAAGGGGGTTGTGTGCTCGGGTGAGTCAGGATTGGGACTTTGGGGTTTACGCCCGAGCTCCTTTTGGGGGAGCGTTTGCGAATCCCGTCAGAGCCTTGGACCCTTTATGCAGAGATTGCCTCCTCCCACACAAACGTAAAGTTTTACGGAAGCTGGTCTCTCCTCTCTGGGTTTAGAAAGACCAATCTAGTCCGAGCCCCAGGAAACGGAGGGGTGGATGGATGATTTCGGAGAGGCCGCCTGACTCTGCCTTGGTTTACTCAAGCTCCCCAAAGTGGGGTGGGGGCAGGCTTTCCTTTTAACGTTGGTGGCTTGTGGGGGTGGGCAGCTGTTTGGGGTGGAGAAGACAAGTGCACTCACCTGCAGAACAGGTGGGCACCCTCTGTCAGGGCAGGTGACTGGGGGTGGGGGACACCCTTGGCTTTAAATATTCTCATTGAAAATGAGGATGACCTCGGGAGGGGAGTTGCATCAACCCAGCTTTCTTATTCCCAGAGCCTGTTAGGCAGCAGTACCTGGTGTTCCTGTTTATTAACTTCACATGCAAGTTGAAAGTGACCCCAGGCAAAGAATGGGACAGACCGGCCTCTTCACCTAGGCCTCTGATCCAGAGCCTTGTGTTCTAGGTCTACCTGTACCCTTTCCCATGATATCCACACACCTGTCAACATCCAAGTCCTGAAAAACCATGGGCTTTTTGGCCTCAATGAGGCCCAGCTTCGGATTCTGCTTTTACAGAACGACCCCTGCCTTTTACCAGAGGTGAGTCCCCAAGGAGTCACCCTCAATGGCTGCCCAGTGGAAAAAGTCAGGGGAGAGCATGGCAGCCTGAGGTGTACCGGAGTGGGGGGTGAGGTGGTGACCTTTCTGGAGTCTCTGATTTTACTGGACTTTGATACTCAGGGAGTGATGGACCCCTGTGGTATAGAAATAATTATAAAGGCTACTCGTTTTTTGTTTACTAGATGCAAAGCAGTTTGTATGCTTTAGTTCCTTAATAACTTGCCCCCATTTTACAGGTGAGGAAACTGAGTCTCAGATTAAGTTGCCTTAGGTCACATGATAAATGGCAGATTTGAATGTAGGCCTGTCTATGAAGCTGGTGTTGTGTGAATTGCCTGTTTATGCTTTTGCCTATTTTTTTTTATGGAGGCATTTGTCTTTTCCTGTTAATTTATACAATGTTTTTAATGATAAAAATTCATTTTCTTGTCATATTTGTTACAAGTATTTACCCCCATTTACTTTTTTGGCGGTCTTAGATATAAATTTTAATTGCTTCAAAGCAACATGACTCAGTTTTATACTTAAAGAGTACCCATTATAACTGCTATAATGGTGAAGTTAGTATGTTTGTAACGGTTTAGTTAGACACAAATACTTTTTAAAAATAAAATAGTTGGATTCCTAGCTCTGGCCGGTTAGCTCAGTTGATTGGAGCATTGTCCCGATGCACCAAGTTTATGGGTTCGATCCCCCATCAGGGCACATACAAGAGTCAACCAATGAATGCATAAATGGATGGAACAGCAGGTCAATGTTTCTTTCTCTTTCTCAAATCAATATATAAATTAAAAGCCCTGGTCGGTTTATTCAGTGATTAGAGCGTCATCCCATGGACCGAAGGGTCTTGGGTTCAATTCTCGGTCAAGGGCACGTGCCTCGGTTGCAGGTTCGAGCCCTGGTCCTGGTTGGGCTCCTGGGGGAGGCAACCAGTGGATGGTCTGTCACATTGATGTTTTTCTCCCGCTTCTCCCGCCCTTTCACTCTCTCTCTAAAGATCAATGAAAAAAACATCCTCGGGTGAAGATTAAAATATATATATGTTAAAAAGAAATAGTTGGAACCCCCAAAATAAAATGTTATAAGAGAACACCCATTAAAAGTTGAGTTTTCTAATCTGGCACAGTGATTCTATTACAGACACTCCCGAGTTGCCAGAAGAGGGGTGAGAAGCAGGGAGGGTGTTGGGAAAGAGAGGGTAGTTCGGGATTGTGGTCCCATTTTAACTTGAGAGATGGCAGGGTCTGGAAGGGCAGAAGGCCCCAAAGCTGGAGCCTTTGGTTCAGATGGCAGAGGGCAGCAGCGTGTACCCACAGGCTGACCAGGAGGTCAGCCCTAGGAGCCAGGGGGTTTCTTCTCGGCGCCCATCTCCTTTCTCGTTTCTTCAGATATTGAAGTCAGTTTGGTAAGTCCTGGGTCAGGTACATTCCAACTACGGTGCCAGGAGGGACACAATGCCTGATCATCTTTTTTGTGTGTGAGCTTAAGAGCGATTTTATTTTATTTTTTTAAATATATTTTATTGATTTTTTACAGAGAGGAAGGGAGAGGGATAGAGTGTTAGAAACATCGATGAGAGAGAAACATTGATCAGCCGCCTCCTGCACACCTCCCACTGGGAATGTGCCCGAAACCAAGGTACATGCCCATGGCCGGAATCGAACCTGTGACCCTTTAGTCTGCAGGCCGACAATCTATCCACTGAGCCAAACCGGTTAGGGCAAGAGCGATTGTAGGGGTGACAACCTGACCCATCCTTATGAAGGTCCCCACCAGGAGGGTCTTGGTTCGCCTGGGACAGACCCAGTTTACATCAGTTGCCCTAATGTAATTATTATAGTGCTGCCTAAACAAATGCCCTTGTCTGGCTGACAAATGATCTGTTCACACTACCTGTTGAGGTTGGTTTCCCCACACAGAGGGATTTAGGTGTGTGTGATTTCTTGAAGTAGGGCTCATTGCAAAAACTTGGTAAGATAAAATAAGAGGGAAGCAGGTTACAGGGAAGGACAAGCTACAAGCAAGGCAAAGTCAGGCTTTGACTAGATTCATGGTGGGGATCGAGCTGCAATTACCCTGAAGAATTGAGGCAAAGGGCCAGCCTTTAGTACCTGTTTAGAATTCACTCATTGGCTACAGACTTTGGGAAAGTAAGGTAGGTCCACAGAAGGTCAAAGTCAGAGAGAGGCAGCTGTGTGTTAGTAACAGCTTGGGAGATCTGGGAGGGAGTACTGTAACTACCCACCCGCCTTCCACCCAATGATTTTATAAAAAGTGCATTTTTTTTTTTTAGTCCTCACCCGAGGGTATTTTTTCCATTGATTTTCAGAGAGAGTGGAAGAGAGAGGGAAAGACAAACATCGACATGAGCGAATCACATCGATTGGTTGCCTCCTACACATGCCGTGACCAGGGTCCGGGGCGGGGAGAAGCCTGCAAGCGAGGTACGTGCCCTTGACTTAAATGGAAGCTGGGACCCTTCGGTCCAGAGGCCCAAGCTCTATCCACTGAGCCAAACCGGCGAGGGCCTACCCAACGATTTTATCAGCCATTGGTGACCAGAAGTTGTCAGTTGGAGAAATTGTCATTTATTGGCTTAAAAGATACAGTGCAAACCAATGTTTTCAGTGTGGCCTCATTTCTCTCCCAGGTCTGTTTGTGCTACAACAAAGGTGAAGCCCTGTATGGCTACTGCATCCTCAAGGACAAATGCAACAAGTTTCATGTGTGCAAGTCCTTTGTCAGGGGAGAGTGCAGGCTTCCGAAATGCAAACGGTCCCACCAACTCATCAACGCAGCATCCCTGAAGCTGCTGGAGGACCAAGGACTGAATGTGTCCAGTGTCGTTAATTTCCAGATCATCTCTACCTACAGGCACGAGAAGCTGCACAAGATGCTTGAAAATAAAGGTGAGAATGTCAGAGGTAGACAAAACTCCATCACTGAGGTAGTTTTTTAAAAGCACACGCATATTTTTATTGATTTTAGAGAGGAAGGGAGAGGGAAAGAGATAGGAACATCAATGATGAGAGAATCATTGGTCGGCTGCCTTCTGCATGCCCCACACTGGGAATCGAGCCTGCAACCTGGGCATGTGCCCTGATTGAGAATTGAAACGGTGACCTCCTGGTTCTTAGGTTGATGCTCAACCACTCAGCCATGCCCGCCAGGCCTCACTGATGTCGTTTTGATCTGAAGGTGAGTCTGGGGAGAAAGCACTTCAAGTGTTTAGAGCTCTGTCCTAGGGGAAGTTTAGGACAGTCAATGTTTTATGATACAGAACTGTGATTGTAACCAAAGAAGGGAATGGATGGAGTTATTTCCAGGGCTGCCAGCTAATGGCACCTGCCCAGTGTGTGAACAGTGTAGCTCCTTGGTAAATTGGGGGTCAGGAGGTAGATAGGCCAGTCTTAACAGCTTCGTTAGGAAAAGAGAGGAGGGAGATGGGCCAGTGACTAGAAAGGTAAGGATAATGTAGGGATGGCTTTCTTTTATTAAATTGAATTAAAGTTTTTTCTTTTTTAATTGTTAGGAAATTTTAAGCACATTACTGAAAAATTTGGATCATAGAATAAAGATAAAAATTGCAAAAGACCACTCATTCAAATGCACAGTAATTGTTACCGTTTACTCGCAAGCCCTTCAGTTTTGTTACTATACGAAGACTAGTCCAGTTGTAGTCAAAGTATGTTTTGGTTTAGCATCTTAAACTGTCACTGTATACAACATCATAACCATCTTCCCATCTCGCCGCTTAGTCTGTCACTTTTTAAGGTCTACAAAGTATGATTGGTGTTCTTTTCATTGGAATGCTTTCAGGTTACTTATTCTGTTAGATTTGCCTGTAGCTGAAAATCAGTTTCAGTGGGTGGTAGACTCAGGAGAATTGTTGATGGGAAAACCATATAATTAAATCAGAGTCTCTAAGCTTTTACTATGGACTTTTCTTATGTTGGGATGGTAGTGGCCGACTTCCTAGGCAGGTGGTGAGAAGGTGGGGAGGGCTTTGCATATGCCAGTGTCGGAGGCTATCTAAGGACCCCGAATGGTGGCAGGGACCTTCTACTCTATATTATGTATAGAGCCTGTCGTTACCTTCATCTGTTGAAACTATAAAATAGTTTCTTTCTGGTTGCTCTGTGTGTGTTTAATATTATATATATATTTAAATATACTTTTATTGATTTCAGAGAGAAACGGAGAAAGAGAGATAGAAACATCAGTGATGAGAGAGAATCATTGATCGACCGCCTCCTGCACACCCCACAAAGGGGATCGAGCCCGCAACCCAGGCATGTGCCCTTTACCGGAATTGAACCTGGGACCCTTCCGTCTGCAGGCCAGTGCTCTTTCCACTGAGCCAAACTGGCTAGGGCTCATATATTTTAAATCCAGAAGACACAAACTCTCCAAATGTAGAATTTTTTTCTGAGATCTGATTCGCTGGATTAATACTCCCAATATAAAATGAAATTTAGAAATGGTAAAAGGAGTGTCTTAGGAAACCTCATCTCTTCTTTTTAGATAATTCAGCTTCTTCTGTTGAGCACTCACCGGGCCTTGAGAAGCAAGGAAGACCGGTTCCTGGGGCTGCAGAAGCCCGTCCCCTGGCTTCTGCCCCTGCCCAGTCGGCCAAGAAGCCATGTGCAGGGAAACCGTGAAGGACATCGCTGAAGTAAGAAGCTCAAGAATCTCCTCCAGTTGGAAGGTCTGGAAACAAAGCTTCCGTTTTGAGCTTTGATTTGTAGCTATTCATTCATTTAATTATTTCTTTAAAATACCTACCTCACAGGGTGTCGTGAGAATGAAAGAAGAAGGAAAAGGAGACGTTGTCAGATTTGGAGGATAAGGTTGGGGATGAGGTTGGATCTTGAGCAGGCAAAGAGAGGGTAAACCTGAGTGCAGATGGGGTCCGTGCTGGGCAAGGCCTGGGATGGCAGCTTCTGCCTGCAGTTCCTGAGAGCTTTCCCGGGCTGGCTGGCAGAGCTCGTAAACAGGCAGGTTTCACTGACTTGCTCTGTGACCCGGCCACAAGTTTGTCTGTATGCCCATATATACAGTTTGAGTACATAAACCTCATAAGCATCTTCTCATATTTGTTCACATATATCATGCATCATCATTTTTATGCACAGATATATTCGTATATCATAGTTTTCTTAACTGTTTCCCTTATCCTGGGAAATTTTGATTCTTTCTAACAAATTTGGAATATAACTCTTTTCTTAAAATCCACACAATATTGAATTTTTAAAGTTAGTCTTTTGCTTAGCTTATAGTTGCAAAATGATACTGTCTTGATTTGCATTTCTTTAGGTTTATGTGCAAGTGAATATTTTTATGTGTCTGCTTTCTGTAGGTCTTTATTTGTGCATTTTGCACATGCCCTTTAATTACGGGGGCCTGTAATTACCTCTTTTGTGCCAATGTGGGATGGCCTTTAGTTAGGCTCCTTAATTTTTATGAAAGGCTGTCAGCCATACTGTGCTCATATAATATTCACCTCTTGTGGTTGCATCCTCGGGCAACACAGAGAATATATAACTTTTGGGTGCTCGCCAGAGATTCCTACCTCACTTCTACTCTGCTCTTATGAAACTTTGTCCAAAGCCCAATTGCTATGGTTTGAAGGATGTGTAGTTTACCCATTCCTCAAAATTGTATTCATTCTTTTATGGATCAGGATGGACCATCAGAGATCTATATACCTCGCCCACTTCATGTTCACTTCCCCCTCCCTCTCCTTTCTTCCCCCACCCAGATGTCTTCATCCAGTGATGCTTAGATGTTTGGTTCTTTGTTTCCATCAAAGGGTACCACAGAGAAGCTCTTTATGGAACCCTTCCCTGTGTTTGCTGTCGTAATATCCCCAAATGTCTGTGTGGAGTGTTTTTAGAAATACTTAACTGTCCTGCAATAGCATGACATTTGAGAAATAGGGGCAAGGTAGTGAGTTTTTCATAAGGCTAACTTTATTTAATTTAGAAATATTTTTGTCGTGAAGTTCTGTCTTTTGCATTGGGGGTGGTATTCAAAAAAATGTCTTTTGTAAAGGGAGAAATTGCTGTGTTTTCTCCTAATGGACAGTAAAAGTCATGCAACTTTTGTTAAACTTTTCAGTTTGGTTGTCAACAATGGTGTTTCTGAAGCCCTCACAGCTTGCATATCTTATTTCTTCTTCCTAGTTCTGATTTCTCCTCGTGCTAATTTTTTAAAAAATATTTTTACATTTTATTATTATCATTATTTACATTATATCATTGTACTACATATATTTTTGTTGTAAGCCATCTTCAGTCCTTAATGGAAACATTGTAGTATGTAAATGCATATCCTTTATATTAAGAGACTTGGTAGACTTTTATATTATCGTGTTTCTTTCATATATCTTATAATTATGTGCTTATAATATGAAGTTATTGACCCTTTGTAATCTTTGTTGCAATATTTTATTCAATTCTATAATATTTCATTTTAATTTTAGTTCTTTGGTATTCATTCTGTAGAAATACTTTATGTAATTGTACCTGATGATCAGCTGTTACAGAGTTAGACTCAGAGATGTTTTCTTTGGCAATTTATTGGGCCTTATGAGATGAAGCTATACATCTCTAGGCTCCACAAATTCAACATATCCTAAATTGAAGGGTTACGTTTTTCTCCAAGCTGTTCTTCCTCCCCTCCCCCCATTTTTTTTTTTTAATTTTGGAGTTTTCACCATCTAATGACTTAAGCCCCAAAACTGCAAAGTGCCCTAATACTCTTCTCTCTCCTTGTTCCCAGTGTCAAATTGGTTACCTAATGTTGGAGATTTTTTTCCCCTTGAAAATCTCTCAAATTTTTATCCTTCTCTGTGCCTTTCTTCACATTCCCTACACACTGCCTTGTTTAAAACCCTCGTCACCTCTTACAGAACTCAGTGGTTTTCAAGTCATGTCTTGCGAGTGTTTTGTGGGAGGTGCTAGGTTACGCTCCTTCAATGGTGGTTGCCCCATTTTAATTGTTAATGTAATAGACTTTTGTGGATTTCGTTGATCTCCTTACCACCCTTCTCTCCCTCTGCCTTCTCTTCTGCTGCCTGGTTGATCTTTTGAAATCCAGTCCTAATCATATTGCTTTTTCCTGCCATTACCTTTATTGGTCCCCATCACTCAGACAGCTACAGGGACCAGAAAGGTGAGTTAATGGATGAAAAGAGCTGGATGTAAGAGGAAGGGGGCAAAGAGGAAGTGCTGTGGCAAATTGTCCCATCGAAAAGGGGCCACTGCCTCTCGTTTTCATGTGGGAACTTGGTCCAGTTTGTTAGATTGTCCATTTTGACAAAAGAAGCCAGAAAGCCAGATTTTCTGATCTTTAAATATTACGTTTTTAAAATGCAGGCCAATATTGTGTGTACTGACCTACTTGCGGTTTTTGGAACGGGCCGTTTGATCCTGTGACTCTGCGTTTGTAAGTTCCCTCCCTCTCGGTGTCACCCTTCTTCCCTTCACCTGCCTTAAAACCTGGTAAAATTAGATTCTTTAAATGCCGGGTTAACTTTTCCTGACCCCAAGAGAGTGCTCAGCTCTCTAGCATAGCACTTACTTCCTTACATTGCAGTGCCTTGTGCTTTTATTCCCTAGCTTTGAGCAAAAACATTATTTATTCTTCTTGGCAATTCTCACACTTGGTAGTTAGATATTTTTGCCATATAACGAGTTAAACTCTGCATTTGAATCAACTGAATCAGCATTATATTGGTCTTCATTGTTCTTTTTTCTTCCCACATAATATATTTTTAATTTTCAAAAAAATCTTTTTCTCCCTAAGGAATGTGTTACATAAGGTGTAAAGATCTTTTTAATGCTTCAATTTGAATTGTCTAGGTCTAAAATGAACACTTTAAGAAAATATTTGTCTTTTAGTGAATTGCCTTTGTTCTAACAGCGTTTTTTTTCCCCTAAAATCATAGCTGCAAAAATATTTGTCTTATGTATCTATTTTGTGTTAAATAAAATTGTGATAAAAAGATATTTTTTGATATTTCTTCATTAAATATTAAGTTAATTATTAGTTTTAAACAAATATTATCTACTTAAAGGAAATAACAACTCTTGTTTGTTAAAAACTTTTAGTCGGAATTGGTATCTTTTAATATAATCATATATTTTTATCATTTAAGTCACCCAATATTATATTAATGGTTTTCACTATATTAAAACATCCTTAAATTCTGAGTAAACTCTACTTGATTATGGCATTATATTCTTTTGATGTATTTTCCCCCTAATTAGTAACTTTTATTTTAAGTGTGTACATCTATACATTTATAAATAAAATTCATTTATATTTTATATGTGTATATAGTAATTTTTTGTTTTTATTACTATATACTCAAAGTATAATTTTTTTTCTGAGGGCTGTTTTGAGTTTTTGTAAACTGATTTGTAATGTCATTAATTTTTTCCCAGCTCTTTTGAGAAATAATGGACACATAACATGTGGAAGTTTAAGGTGTGCAAGGCTATGATTTGACGCATGTATACTTGCAAAATGATCATTACAATGAGGTTAGTTAGCACATTTATCACCTCACATTCATTATTATGTTAACAATAATGTATTATTGTATTACTGAGTTACTCTCTCTATTATCATTTAGGAATACTTTTCCAAAAGATTTTTTTTTGAAAACATAATAATATATCATTATGGAAATTTTGGAGAATACAGGAATGTATTAAGAAGTAAGTAATAATCACCGATAATACTACTTTGTAGAGATAATCACTGTTAGTATTTTAAGATACCTTTTTCAGTCATTTTTTTATGTACATATTCTTAAATATTGAGAGTATACCATATATACAATTTCATATTATGCTGTTTTGGATTGATATTATCTTCTAAACGTTTTCCTATATAATTGAAAGCACTCATAATTATACGTGATGGTTTTATTATGTTTTTTTATATGTCATTTATTTAATCATAGTCCTGTTGTCGGATATTTATTGTTTGCTACATTCTGGTACATAAATCTTTGTCTGCGCTTCTGACCATTTTCTTAGATGTGACTATACTGTTCCAGAGATATGAATATTTTAGTCAAAAAAGTATTTCAAAATTGTCTGCCAGAGTGGCTGGACCCTTTACACTCTCAGCAGCGTGGGGCTTGCCACTCTTCACCAGCATGTGTTGTAGGTACTTCCATCCTGATGGAGAGACAGGATACCTTTTGTTTCTGCTGAGTTCTGCTGAGTGGATATTTAGAAAAGTACATTGGTACTAATTGCTACTTAATTACATGTTAAAGGCTATATTTTAATCTATTATGCAATAACATGATTATGTTCTGTGTAATTTCTGATGTTTTATCTTTACTGAGATTATCTTCATGGTCAGTTTGTGTGTGTGTGTGTGAGTGTGAACTGACCATGCGTTTATCTTACAAGGATAAAATTTTACTCTCATGGTGCCTCAGAGGTGTTCACGCTCAGGTGTTTATCTCCCAGATAAATTTTTGTTTTATGCAGAAAGTGAAACTGCCTCCCTCTAATGCCCACGGCAGGCTCTCGCTTCAGTGAAGTGTCTGCTAACCTGAGTTGACCGTATCTGCTTTCAAACTTCGGAGGGGCTGCTCTGGCCAAGGAAAACTTGGAAATGCCTCAGACAGACCTTCCTTTGGGCCACACTCTTCTCCA